TGTTTTATTGCAATTACATACAGGCGATGTTTTATTAATTGATTATTAAGCAAGTTGGTAATGTTAATGGCATCATAATTGAAAAGAAAAAGTAATTCCGCATTTTAATTAAGCGCAGCTTAATACGATATTATGATAACATTACCGCATATATACGGGGTGTTACAACTGTGTTCTAGAAGGCATGCTTTGACTGTATACCTCGTCTACCTGAAACATGGAGACTCATATGTATACTGTTGGGCTTGTCCTGAAAGAGCACAGGGCTAGGGTGATAAGCTGAAAGAATTCGTCAAATCTCTGTGAGAGATTAGGTTATCTGTAAACCGGAGAAATCGGGATGACATTTACAGGGACTCGAGAATCTATGCATAGTAAAAGAGATCATGAGATAATTTGCCTTTAGAGTCAGTAAATTAAAGATTCCCTATTTCGAATAAAGCTTACCCTAAACCGCAAGGTTGATACGCTTCCTTACCCTAGGTTTTATGGGAAGGTAACCGAGACGAAAAGAAATACATACGGCAACCAAATATGTGTAATAGGATGATCAAGTCATTAATCTAACTAGCTCTGGGGCAACAAAGCATTGCTAGTGCTCTGTGTTGTCATTAAATGGGTTGTGGGCTTGTTGGGCCTGAGCCCGTTTATGTCAGTGGCTATGTTGGACCTAATGGGTCACACACTAACACCTTAATGTCATGATGATATAGCATTAAAGGTATTGAGCCTAATAATGGTTGTTAGCCTAAGATGAAGTTTGGAAGCCCACCTAAGAGGGAGAGGGCGCATGGTATTGTTAATGGGCTTGGATGGTCCAAGACATTACTAATTAATTTAATTAGTTAATTTAATTATCAAATATTTAAATTTTGAATTTTGAATTTGAATTTTGAAATTCGAATTTTGAATTTGAAATTTGAATTTTGAATTTTGAATTTGAATTTTGAAATTTGAATTTTGAATTTTGAATTTGAAATTTGAATTTGAATTTTGAATTTAAATGTTTGAACGTTTGAATTTAAATGTTTGAATTCAAATTTGAATTGGCTATGAAAAGTTGTTTCGTAACAAAATGATAAGATGCGATCTTGTTGGAACAAATCCCTTGTATCAAGAGAAGATCTATGGAGATCTCCAAGGGCTGATTTGGGGCGCCATTTTGGTGGGAGATAATTGTCATCCTGTTAAACCAACAAGCTCCAATCAGATTTGGTTGTTGAGAGAATCAGTGAGCTAGTTGGTTCAAACTTGAATGCAATAGCTCAAATGTATCTGGACCCTTTTTGGGCTGAATAGGGGCGCATGAATTGGTGGTCATATGATGACCATTGGTTCAGAATTTTGACTAGATAAAGACCTAGTCTTATGAGGATTCAAATGGGAGGTTGTTGGGATTTTTGAATTGCAACAACTCCACCTTTGTCTCACTCACTTGTGTGCCACTTTCACTATAAGTAAAGTAAAATTCTGATTTGATACAATAATTCTCTCCCTCTCTTGTGCGCCTAGTTGGTAAGTTCCTCCTTAAGGTTTTTCAAAAGAATCTAGCCTATTCTTCTATATACCATTCCCACTCTTGTGAAGTTTTTATGCTGGAGACTTCACTCTTCTAAACACATATACCTAGCCTCCTTCTTCACCTACTGAGCGCATAGCAAGCCTCTCTGTGGTGGTCAATTGGTGGCTTTCAAGAAAGTGTTCTTGCATCTTGACGTGGGTGATGTGGATCAACGTTAGAGGGTTTGAACCCTTCAAACCTAGCACTGATCGTCTTGGAGTTTTGAACTCACAAACAAAGGTAACATCACATGCCATAAAGCATGATTCCTGATTGCATGTATAATTTCGCATATGAAAAATTTTGTTTTTCCCTCTCACATGCTATGTTCTTCAAGGCCATTTTACTTTCAATAATCTCCACGAAAAGTGGAAGGTTTATGCTTACGGAATTCAGTGAGTCCTTTATAATCAGAATTAAGTCCTCCCTGAGTATTTGCAGTCCTAGGTCCATTTTCACTTTCAGAATTATGGGTGTGATTTCTGGTTGCACGATCCTCCCTCAGCTCATGAATAATTTGCTGATTAGTCATAGTTTGTTCCCTAAGAGCTTCTTCCACTCGGGTAAACGCATCTGTTACTGGGTTAACTTCTTGTTCAGAAGTTGAAGAAGATATCTGCCTTGTGTCTGCCATAGATCTACATATATTGTTTTATGATGTGAAGTTGATCAGGCTCATTAAAATAACTCAAAATATGCATGATCTATGACAAAATATCAAGCAATTATAATAGTTTAGGTTTTTTATTTACCTGAACCACTGCTCTGATACCATAAAATGTAACATCCTCTATAACTGACTAGGATAGAAGATATCACATTAATTCTTAAGTGAAATTCTAACGCAGTAGATAAGAAATAAGGCATATGACAAAATATTTATAATCTTTAATTATACAGAAGTCAAGTTCACTATTACATCATAAATACATCATAATCTAAACTAAAGAGAAACATTTTCTTTTTATTAATTTGCTCCACTAAGCTCCGTATAGTCTTCAAAGTCTTTAGCCATAGTGCTTTATCTTACTCCAAAGCTACATATACTGGTCTGTTTACTCTGGAAAGGTTAGCATAAAAACAAACACATGTGAGATAAATCTCAGTAATATTGGGGTTTTCGAACTATAACCAATCCAGCTACTTCAGTGGAAAATATCATTCTCACAGAATAAAATTTATAATAAGAAAATAATATCATAAACAATAAATATAAGCCCAACCTTTGTGGGTTCTTCATTCAGTTATACCCAAACCTTTGTGGGTTATACCCAAACTTTGTGGATCCTAGATACACATATAGGAACATGTAATCTTTAACTGAAATGACTAAAGCTCAATTCTGGAGCGCCCAAACTCTGTGGGTTCTGTATGTGAAAGGTTCTGTATGACAGAGCTCAAGCCATGATAAGGCGTCCCTTACCCTATAACCATTCTGATCTCCTTGTGGGTCAGCCACATCAGAATCACTCAGTAAAAGATTGCATATTCTGTTATTATCCGTTTGGTACCAAAGCAATCTTTTAGTTCTATAATCTTGTTATAATTTCATCAATAGTCACAAAATTAAAAGATAGAAAGTAAAGTAAAGGAGTAGAAAGAATTCATAAAATAATTTTGCTTTTAAAGAAATAACTTTAAAATACCAACTTTCAACACAACATAGAAAAAAATAGAACCAACATAGCTTTTTAAAATAAAGGAGAAAATGAGTTGCTTACTTCCAATATTACATTTCCTTTTCTTTTTCTTCTTTCTTTCCCTTCTTCTTCTTCTCCCTTTCTCTCTCTCTCTCTCTCTCTCTGTCTCTCTCTCTCTCTCTTTCCTTCTTTCTCTCTCTCTTCTTTCCTTCTTTCTCTCTCTTTTCTTTCTTTCTCTCTCTCTTTCTTTCCTTCTTTCTCTCTCTTTTCTTTCTTTTTCTCTCTCCATCTCTCTTTCTTTCCTTCCTCTCTACGCAACTTTGTGTGTGTGTTGGGGGGGGGGGGGGGGTTATATAGTTTTTGAAAAAGGAATGTAATCATTACTTTTTATAAAAATCTAAGGAATCTAATTATTACGTTTATAAATATCTAAGGAATCTTAATCATTACGTTTATAAATATCTAAGATATTTTAGTTATTACTATTTTTTTTATTTTTAAAATATTACAATTATCATGCTGTTGAAATAGGGATTAAGCGCCCAAACAATTGACAAAATAATCCATCTTGAAACTTAAAACATTGAGCTTCAACTAACACCAATCCATTTTATTTTTTTTTAAAAAAAGGGAATTTTACCGGTCCAAACAGGTTCTATTTAACTTGTCAGGTCACCGAGACCCGGCCAAGTCAACTGGTCCAAACGGGTTGATTGCGTAACGATCCAAAGGGCCGCTCGAATCGGGTAACCCACCAAGTCACTAAGACCCGAGTCGACCCAGCCGATTTTTAAAACACCGGTTTCAATGTATCAATTGAAAATAATTTGAGAAATTTTCTAAACTTTTATGTAATAAAACCCAAAAATTCAAATTCAAAATTTTCTTATAATATTCATTGAAAACATGCATATAATATATGGTTAAGAAACTTTCATCACGTATAACAAAATATCCAAAGGTTTCCAAGATTAGTCACAAAAAATTTCAAACGAAATTTTATCATGAACTTTAGGTTTATATGCAAATTTCAAATTATTTTAATAAATAAAAAAATATGGGTTTTATAGTCATATATGCATAGCTCTGATATCAAATGAAGAAGATAATTTTAAACTTATTGGTCAAACCTAAGAGTAGGAACGAGAAGATGTTAATGCGTGGAGGACTAATATAGATATGTAGAGAGCTGCTGCTTAGTAGGACATCAAGTTATATCAAATTACTGATTGAGAAAATTATAGTAGGTTTTATTTTTTTATTAATATTATTGTATTTGTTTGGTATTTTCTTTATTGACTCTTGTAATTTTGAATGTTTATTAAAAATTCATATGGTTTTTTAAATTTTATAAATTTATATTTTCCTTTCAAATTTTATAAATTCTATTAAAATCATTTAAAATCTAATTTTATAAAATTTTGATTGTAAAAAAGTTTTTAAAAAAAGCCTTTAAAGTCACTAAAATATTAGATAGTCTTTTAAAATTTACAAAAAAAATTATCTCAAAATAATCTTTTAAAATCATAATTCAATATACACAGAGTGAATAATCGATTCAAGTTTAATAAGATTGATTTTGGTAACAATATTCACGTTTTTTTTTTAAAGTCAACTTTATTTAAAATAATAACATTTTATTAACATATTATAGTGGTCCATTACTTTCATAGGAAATATACTTTGGCTTGTGTTATCAAAAAAAAAAAAAAAAATATACTTTGGCTTGAATCATATTCATGGAAAGCGGAAGCCACGTGGGTTTTCTGATATTCACCTCTCATGGTAGTGGAACTTGAGACACGTGAGAGAAAACGCTGATCAAAGAAAAAGTGGCGGAACAAAACAAACAGACCAATTGATTTTGTCCAGAATTCAAGGTTATTGTTGCAGGCGTAGATAACTAGGCTTGCCGAGTGTGTTCCTTAGGAATCGAGAATCTAAGATTCGTTGAAACAAAACATTCTCTCTCTCTCTCTCTCTCTCTCTCTCTCTTTCGCAGTGTGAATTTGTTAAATTGTTGTTCCTTCCTGAGTTCCCACTTTCACCTCATCCAAACACAAGAAATGGGGATTCAGAAGATAAAGGTTGACAACCCCATCGTTGAAATGGACGGTATGTTATGATTTAATCATTATTGAGAATTGAGTTCAAATGGGGGTCTCATGCTCAAAAAAAATAAAATAAAAAAATAAAATTCTTCTGAATCATTTGATGTTTACTGTGCTTGGGGGTTAATACGTATTAGAAAATATCCACTTTCTTTCTCTGAATAATCAATCTTTCATTGTCTGCATATATGTAGGAGACGAAATGACACGAGTAATTTGGAAATTGATAAAAGATAAGGTAGTTATATTTTCTTGTGTTATCTTTCATGAATCAGGTATGTTTATGTTTTGGTTTTTGCATTTTATTATCCTTTTGTATTTTTTACATTTTGCAGCTTATTTTCCCTTATTTGGAGTTGGATATTAAGTATTTTGACCTTGGCCTTCCTCATCGAGATGCCACGAATGATAGAGTTACTATTGAAAGTGCTGAAGCTACACTCAAGTATGTGCTCTAATTTTTGCCTTGGAGGCTTCTTTGCACTTCTTGGATTATGTATGGTTTTGTTGTTGCAATGAGTGTCACTCTTTCTGCCTTTTTTTTTTTTCAATTTTTATTTGTTTCTGTTACGATCCTATTTGCAAGGTATGGGACTTGGAGTCCCACATTAGTTATATGGGCAACTAATGTGGGGTTTATAAGGTCTTAGGCACTCTCATCCTTTGGGCTAGCTTTTGGGGTAGTGCACCTCAAGGTTCTTATCAAATGGTATCAGAGCCTTCCACTATGCCTCCCGGTTGCAATTGAGCGGCGCGGGTGGTGACGCCGGCATTGCACTGTTCGCCCGATGCTAGTAAAAGACTAGCGCAAAGCCAGCCCGCGTAGGCGCTGGGGCTGCGGAGCGTGGTGGAATGTTACGATCCTTTTGCAAGGTATGGGACTTGGAGTCTCACATTAGTTGTATGGGCAACTAATGTGGGGTTTATAAGACCTTGAACACTCTCATCCTTTGAGCTAGCTTTTGGGGTGGTGCACCTCAAGGTTCTTATCAGTTTCTTCCACGATTATTGTTAAGATCAACAATTCCAATACTGTTAAAAGGGAAATCCACCTCTATCTTGTTTATTTCTTCCCCCAAAATTAGCTTGAAGGATTCAATGCATAGCCATGCTGATCTTTCACTTATTTGGATTTCAGATAAGATATCCCATTTATTTAGATATTGTAGAGATATCTTTTCTTAGCCAAAGTTACCATGGAATCTGGAACATAGTATAAGTGTGTTGCTTTAATGATTGAAATGTTTTTTTTTTCCTCACTCTCTTATGCATCTGTTTCTTAGCAGAGGATAACAGATAACTAAACTCACATTTAAATGCCCCCAAGGTGTTTATTCAACAGTAGATGAATCATTCATCTCACTCAAAGCTTGAAATTGAGTCTCACTCTCACCCATAGCCCTCTTGCAAGCTGGCATATCTATGCATTGTTATCAATCCCATAAAACGGTATGGAGTGGCTGGCCCAAAACTGCTAGCAGGATAGCGGATAGCGGGATGGCCACTATACAAAATTTTATATATAAAATAAATAACTTACACTACACATATATAAATGCTTGAAAATAAAAATAAAAAAATACTTAAAATTGAAGATATATTCATAATTAATAAGCAAAAGTCTTAGTCTTATGCTAAACACACTAGTCCATAACAAAAGTCTAGGATCATAAAGGATGTAAAGATCTATTTCAACCCAAAACCTTAAGATGTTGGGTAAGAGTCTTTTTTAATGGTTTATATTATACTCTAACACGCCCCCTTCACAAGAAAGCCCATTGAGCTTAAAGGGTGGATAATGCATAAGCCCACCTACCTGTATTAAGAAATTTCACAAGAGAAAATGGGGGGCGATAAGGATCGAACCTGTGTTATCGAGGCTCTGATACCATGTAAAGAACCATTTCAACCCAAAACCTTAAGGTGTTGGATAATGGTTTTTTTTAATGGTTTATACTATTCTCTAACAAAGGAAATAAGAAAGTATAATGACAAATCTTATATAAGTTTTAGCCTCTAAGGCTTAAAGTAACTAAACATTCAAATTCACATTCAAGTTTTTCCATGATCGGAATCATCATCTCCAAGATCTTCCAAGTCTTCTTCATTGACACTTACACTGATTTGTGGAGTTGTGCCTTGTGGCTGAGTGGATGGTGCCATGACTACAGATGATGTGAAGGGTGACCAAGGAGAAGTTAAAAGCCTCATAACACAAATAATAATAATTATAAACAGAAGGATCAGCAACGGAACAGAGTATGTGAATGACACAGGCCTGTGTGAGAACTCAGAACAGAGGACGTGCATAAACGCTGAACAGAACAGAGTTCGTAAATAGAAAAGGGCATTTGGTGTGCTGGAAACAACACCGGCAAGTTAGTGAGATGTGGGTGAATGGGTAGTTGCATGAATGAATGATTGAACAACGAATTCAAACCCTATATAGTATTATGATAGAAAAGGGGTAATTTGCAAAAATATCCCCTAAAACATGGTTGGAAGGCACAGAAAGAATGCAAGATGGATGGGCTTATGTAATATGGAAAGAGGATTATAATTTCTGATTGTATTTAGTTTTCGCTGATACATTATCAACTTTAGTAAACTGAACTAATTTTTTTTTTTGGTATACCGACCCCCAGTATCCCTACAAGCTTCAACTCTTTGAGCCAACTATGAGCTAATCCCGAGTCGGGGCTTAGTCATAGTTAAAGCTCCTTGTCCCTCCCCAAAGATGTATTTGATGGGAATCGAACACAGGTCTTTTCCCCACTCTATACTCAGTCTGTGTTGCCAACTGAGCTATATCCATTGGGTGAACTAATTTATTTTTTGAATGTTACCTTTTTTCAAATTCTGTGGAATAGGAAGCTTTCATTGTTTTTGTTTGTGTATAAGTGTTAAGCGAACTTCTCTTACTTGCTGAGGCCTCCTAATATCACCATTGGATTTCTTCTTCTTCTTTTTTCTTTTTTTTTTTCATTGCAGGTATAATGTAGCTATCAAATGTGCAACCGTAACTCCAGGTATTCATAATTTTCTAATTTGGAATGACGCATGCCTTTCCATTTCATATTAACTTAAGATTTTGTACTAACTTGTTGCCTGTGCATTATAACTAAAATTCACATGCAAAGTTTTTCTTTTTCATAGATGAAGCTCGTGTCAAGGAGTTTAATTTAAAACAAATGTGGAAGAGCCCAAATGGGACAATCCGGAACATTTTAAATGGTAATTAAACTTTCTAATGGTTTTTACCCTGCTATGTTTCTGAATTTTTTGCTGATATCTGGGCAAATATTCAATTTCAATTCCTACAGGCACTGTTTTTAGAGAGCCGATTATCTGTAAAAACATTCCTCGTCTTGTTTCAGGTTCATAAAAAATTAGAACTTATTTGATATTTGAATTTCATTTTATGATTGCAAGTGCTAATTACTATCTGGCTATTGTTTAGGCTGGACAAAGCCAATATGCATTGGAAGACATGCTTTTGGAGACCAATATCGGGCAACCGACGCAGTTATAAAAGGCCCAGGAAAGCTAAAATTGGTGTTTGGTAAATTCACTATCTAGTCAACTGTTTCTCATGACTCAACTAATTTACAAATTCAATCTTGTTCAAGTTGCAAAATTTCTCAACAAATGCCAAATCTTTCATTGCTGTCATTCCCTAATAGATCAAAGAGTTAGCAGTCTGTTGAGATATATAGTCCCACATTGGTTGTATGTGCAACTAATGTGGAGTTTATAAGGCCTTGGGCACTCCCACCCTTTGAGCTAGCTTTTGGGGTGGTGTATCCCAAGGTTCTTTACATGGTATCAAAGCCTCGCCTCCCCCCACTTTCTCTTGTGGCATTTCTTAGCACAGGTAGGCTGAGCCTGTTGCATTGTCCACTCTTCAAGCCCAATGGGCTCTCGTGTGAGGGGGCGTGTTGAGATATATAGTCCCACATTGGTTGTATGTGCAACTAATGTGGAGTTTATAAGGCCTTGGGCACTCCCACTCTTTGAGCTAGCTTTTGGGGTGGTGTATCCCAAGGTTCTTTACATGGTATCAGAGCCTCGCCGCTCCCCCCCCCCACTTTCTTTTGTGGCGTTTCTTAGCACAGGTAGGCTGGGCCTGTTGCATTGTCCACTCTTCAAGCCCAATAGGCTCTCGTGTGAGGGGGCGTGTTGAGATATATAGTCCCACATTGGTTGTATGTGCAACTAATGTGGAATTTATAAGGTCTTGGACACTCCCACCTTTTGAGCTAGCTTTTGGAGTGGTGTATCCCAAGGTTCTTTACACAGTCTATAAAATTAAAGTATCCTAAGAAGTTCAGTTGTGTTTACAGCACCCAGTGGGCATGAAGAAATTAAGGAGCTAGAGGTCTATAACTTTACTGGTGCTGGAGGCGTAGCTTTGTCCATGTATAATACTGATGAGGTTTGCAACCTGGGTGATGCTTCTTTTTATTATTCTTCTCAGAAAGAATTCATAACTGCATTGGCAATAATCATAATATGTTGTATTTGGTCTGGAAACAGTCCATTCGAGCTTTTGCTGAGGCTTCAATGAACGTTGCTTACCAGAAAAGACGGCCACTCTATCTTAGCACTAAAAATACTATTCTAAAGAAATATGATGGAAGGTATGCTGGTTTACTTGTGGTTCATCTTTCTTTATATTTGATAGATTCCAACTAGTAACGAAGGTAAAATTAAAGAAGAAACAGAAATTGTATTGATGAAGTCAGATATCAGATATCGGATTGAACAGTGATGATGATAGAAACTGAAAGAAATTACAGAAAAAAAAGGGTCCAAGCCTTTCGCGAGGGCTGGTCTCTCCCAATCAAAATTCTCATTAATTGCCTGTCTATCCTCTGTTACTTCTGCTCTTTATCTCCCATATCCCTTTACAATTTGTTGCCAACTACTCTTAACAGAAATCTCATACTGAATAGAATATTCATCTCTTAACAGACTTGCCTACTTAGCATGGGGAAACTGTTTTCCTTTGCCCCTTCCTAGAATACACCTTCGATATCAGTGGGGTATTCCTATAAATACTTCCCCTTGTCCTCAAGGTGGAGTTCAGCCAGCAAAAGACCTTCCCCCTGGGATCCCACTGTTTGAAAGCCCTCGCAACCGGATAGATTGTCCGAGCATTCCTTTGTGTGATGTCATAGTCTTCTCCTTATATCATAGTCTTCAGACCAGCAAAAAACAAGCAACTGTCAGCTGGCTTTCCTAATATATCATATTCTTCTCCTTATGTCCCAACAATATAAGAGTAAGCACTATAGTTGAATATGGGACATCAGCAGAAGACCATGATATATTAGGAATGCCAGCTTATATTTGCTTGTTTTTTGCTGGTGTGAAGACCATGATCTTAGGAGAAGACTATGACATCACGGAAAGGATTTCTCGGACAATCTTTCTGGTTGCAAGGGCTTTCAAATAGTGGGATCCCGGGGGAGGGTCTTTTGATGGATGAACTTCACCCCAAGGACAAGGTGGATCTTTTGGGGGAAGTATTGATAGAAATACATCACTGATTTCAGAGATGTATTCTAGGAAGGGGAACAGGAAAACAATTTCCCCATGTTGAGTAGGCGAGTCTGTTAGGAGAGGAATTTTGCATTCTGTTATGAAGATTTCTGTTAAAGAGTAGTTGGCAACAAACTGTAAAGGGATATGGGAGATAAGTAGGGGGAGGTAATAGAAGATAGGCAGGCAATTAGTGAGAATTTGGGTTGGGAGAGACCAGCCCTCTCAAAAGGCTTGGACCCCTTGGTTTTTTTCTGTAATTTCTTTCAGTTTCTGTCATCATCACTGTTCAATCTGATATCAACCTTCATCAGTACAATATTCTGTTTCTTCTTTAATTTTACCTTTGTTACTAGTTGTAATTGAGACACTATCGTTAACTGTAGTTAATCAAACCCTCAAGCACATTTTTTATTCTTTGCTTTTGTGAAGATTCAAGGACATTTTCCAGGAAGTTTTTGACACTCAATGGAGTCACAAGTTCAAAGCCGTGGGGATATGGTCAGATGAATTGCTTGTCATGCTAATCAAAACCTTTCTCCTAAGTAGATTGCTAATTCATATTCCATAATTCTTAGGTATGAACACCGTCTTATAGATGATATGGTTGCCTATGCTCTTAAAAGTGATGGAGGTTATGTATGGGCCTGCAAAAATTATGATGGGGATGTGCAGAGTGATTTCTTAGCTCAAGGTGGGATATCCATTTGTTCTTGTGACCTTCACTTAGTTTCTAGTTCTTGAAATTCTTGAAAGTTTTGTTGTTTATATTAAGAAATTAGAGGGGCCAAGGTTTTGAAAAATCCATCACCAGCATCTCTCATGCTTAATATGATCTGAACAATAGTTTCCATTGAACAGGATTTGGTTCTCTTGGATTGATGACATCAGTACTGGTATCAGTTCTCTAACCCTATGCAGTGTTTTTCTTTTCTCTTCATGCATATCCTTTATTTGTTTCTTTCTGTCCTTTGGTTACATCTCTAGCAAGAATGTTCAAGAAGCTAAATTTGCTAACAGGTTTGCCCAGATGGAAAAACCATTGAAGCAGAGGCAGCCCATGGTACTGTTACCCGTCATTATCGGGTTCATCAGAAGGGAGGTGAAACCAGCACAAACAGTATTGCATCAATTTTTGCCTGGTCAAGAGGTCTTGCACATAGGTAATATTGAAATTGAAACTCATCTGATTAATATTTGGTCATACTAGAATCCATTGACATTGATATTTTTCCATTTTAGTTCATAAAATCAGACAGAAGACTTAGTAGATTAATTCTTTCAGGGCAAAGTTGGATGGGAATGCTAGATTGTTGGACTTCACAGAGAAACTGGAAGCAGCATGCGTTGGAACTGTTGAATTGGGAAAGATGACAAAGGATCTTGCACTTCTTGTTCATGGACCTAAGTAATTTCTGGCATTGGGATAGTTCTTTCAGAACGCTAGTTAGTAGCTACTTCATCTGATTTTTATGTATTACAAATTTAAATTACTTGTTCTTTTCTTTTTTGTAGGGCTTCTAGGTCTCAGTATTTGAATACTGAAGAGTTCATTGATGCTGTAGCAGAGGACCTTAGAACAAGATTATCCACAAAAGCAAAGCTGTAGAGTTCAAGATAAATGTGTCCAATAAATGTTTGCCTCCAATGGTTCTGCTTATTTATTCATGACTAGTGCCTTTTCCATTTTCTGTAATTTATACCTTTCATTTTAAATAAGAGGTAACAGGTTGGATTCATATAATTAACCTCTTACAAGTGTAACTTACAACTGCCTTCTATAGACCCTTTCTCTGAATCCTTCGGATAGTGGGAGCTTTATAGCATTAGGGTGTCCTATGCCTTTCAATTTAACTATAGGTTTATCATTATTCTCATGTGGACTGGTGCATGCCAATCTCATAAGTGACAGTGTTACTATGCCTTATTTGTTTTATTTTATATTTATACTTATGTTCTTGAATATAGTTTTATATAATTGATAAAACCTTACAATTTGTGTTTTTTTTTATGCTTCTACCTCCGTTGTCCGGTTTAGGTAGGATTCAGGAGTTTGACGACCTTGATGTAGAGGCGTATCGGTTTTATGTTGTGAGAAGAGTAAATTTTGTTTTTAAGATATTGTATGTGTATGTAAAGTGTATGCTTGTTAACAGTTTTTTTTAATATATTTTTTAAATTCTTTCAAAAAGTTGTCCAAACAAGAAAAAATCAAAGCTTTTTTAGTGTTAAATAATCTAATTCAAACACCTACAGCCATATGATTTTTTTAAAGTGATTTTATAACTTTTTGAGTAATGTCATTAAGATTTAATACATTCTTGTCACCACTTACAGTGACCTTTAACCTCATACAATAAACCATTCATCTCCCTTTGCTAGCCACTAATCTTAGTCACCTAAAACTTTATGATGTCTTTACTTAAGTAAACTCCATTCAGGACTCACGTGTCCACAAGGAAGAGACTTTTAATGTAATGCTCATCTGCGTTCTTCAGTGTTTATTTTTCTTTTCTTTCTTGAAGGAGGGAAATTCTATTGCTTCTCAGTTAAACCTTTCAGAGCATATATACCTTTAACACGATGAACAAAGCTTGTACACAAACTTTACTTCATCTCATTAGAACTCAACTTTTCAAGAACTCATAGCCTGAATACTACCCTTTTATTGTCAAAACATATTCTTAAAACTGAATTTAACATTTAATAGTGCTACTTTGGAAAGCCTTGCTACAACAACATTAAAGATACTGAAAAGAAAGTTAGAAGGAAAAGGAATATTTTGAATGAATTTACATGTCTGTGTATGTATACAAATTCAAATTTTCTTTTGGGGAAGAAGAGGTGACACTTTGTACAGTATATACTTTTCAAAGAAGTATAATTTTATCTGAATTGGACTTTCACTGCTAAAAATACTCAAATTCTATGTAGGAATCAGTATTATTGTTACTGTTACTGTTACTGTTTTTATCATTAGCAATATCTGCCATCTTCTTGTCAGGTGGGGGTGCTGTGTTTTTGCTAGCATATTTGGAAAAATCAATAAGGTCTGGTATATGAGGAGGTGTGGCACTTCTAACTAGAGCCCAATTCACTCCCTCAAAAAAAGGGTGTTGTTTTATTTCTGTTGCTCCTCTTTTATATGCAATTCTCTTCTGAGGTTCTTTCACCAACAGTCCTTTAATAAGATCACGAGCCACAGCACTAACCTGAGGAGTTTCTGGGAACCTCAATGGTTGACCAACAACATTAAAAAGTGTGGCTTTATATCCTGCACCCTTAAAAGGTGTTGTTCCATGCAACAACTCATACAAGAAGATACCAAAAGTCCACCAATCTACTGCACTACCATGACCCTCTCCTCTGATAATCTCAGGAGCAAGATATTCATGTGTCCCTACAAATGACATTGAACGTACATTGGTGGGTTCTGCCATCAGTTCAGGAAGTCTAGTTCCACCAACCAATAGGCCAAAATCTGATTTTGACTTGCGGTTCTTCTTTGAAGGTAAAATGCGTGGGAAAAAACCTGATGATGATTGAGTACTTGCTTGCACTCCTTGCTCATCACCTAACATGCCTCCAGAATCACTACTACCACCATTGCCTACATTTGCAGATGAAGACTTCACAAGTGTAGGACACACAGAACAGCGAAGTGATAAATCAAAATCAGATAGCATGATATGCCCTTCATCTCTTACTAATAGATTCTCTGGCTTTAAGTCTCTGTATACAATGCCAAGCATGTGCAGGTACTCAAGAGCTAACAAAACCTCTGTAGCATAAAACCTATCACAAGAAGTTTGAAAATAAAAATTCATAAATTTATCCACAAATTGAAATGAGAAAGGTAACATCAAATGGCTAACACAAGTCATAAAAATTGGAAATAAGAGAATGAGATTAGTATTTCTCATGTTATAGGACAAAATTATCTCTTGCAAACATAAAAGTGTGTGGGGTCCATGTTTTCTTTTTCTTCTCTTTACATGGCCCCATATGGACCTTATACACTTTTATGGGTGTGTAAGTAAAAAAATTATTTCCTACAATATGAGAAACATTAATAACTCCGCCTACGTGTGCTTGCATGCATAGCCTGTCCCAAGGCAGGATAAAGGAGAAGGGTTGGCGTCAAGTGTAGCAAGCCGGTCATAAAAAACAGCTATATTTATGAGATGAACCCTTATGATATATCTTTCACTTGGGTTCATCTACCGTCGACCCCGATTAGTTTGGGATAAAGGTGTTGTTGATGTTGTTGAGAAACATTAATATATATATATATATGAGACATGATTATTTTAAATCAGTATAAATAACACTCTCAATCTTAATCATTAATTCCACTTGTATTTAAAGGTTCACATGAAGTGACTAATAAATTAGAGTCATTAAATGTAAATAGAACAATTAAGATTGAACGTAAGACTTCGTATAAACTATTCTCCATTCGACCCTGTCTAATGAGGGTAGGGGGGGGTAGCAATCCTTAATTGTCAAAAGTATATAGAAACATGGAAGAACAGAAGGGGGAATGCTGCAAACAGATTCCACTCACCTTGCTGCCTCTTCGGTGAAACACTTGTGAGGTTGCTTCTGTCTAAGAGAATGAAGATCACCTCCACTACAGAACTCCATGACCAAACAGTAAAACTTGTCAGTTTCAAAGTAAGAATACAAAGTTGGCAAGAAGGGGTGATCAAGAAGTCCAAGAATCTCCCTTTCTGTTTGTGCTCTCAGAAGCTTATTTCTGCTTATAAGAGCTGCCTTGTCCATTACTTTCATGGCAAAGTGAGCCTTGGTTCCTTTAAGTTCCACAAGATATACACTTCCAATGTCTCCATAACCAATGCGCTTGAGAAGCCTAAAATGGCTAAGATTGAGAGGGCCACCCTTGGAAACCATGTGAATTGCTTCCCACCTTACATCACCACCAGTATGTGGCCTAATGGTTGCACTTGTGCTCTCTAAACTGTCACTTCTAGAGCTAGTTCCACTCCCTGGACCTTGATTTGTGGTCTTTGTATGGGTAGACATCATTCCCTTTGACATTCCTATTGGTGGTCTTGGTGAGTTAGGTGCATGATCAGAAATGTTTCTGCTTGTTGGTTTTAATTTCTCAGGTTTTGATTTACTTGCCAACTTTGCATCAGTTTTAGAAACATGGTCCATATTTCCAGCTCCACTTGTTGAATAATCAGTTGTGCATGCATCTTTTGCTGCTTGATTCCCCTTTGTGGGATGTGTTGGTGAACTATTTCCTGAATTTGCACAACTATGATCACTATGGTCTGTCTTAAGAGGCTCTTCTGACAAATTGTAGTTCATGTTCATCTGCAATTATGTATGAAATAGAAATTTTGATCAATTCTCACAATCATGAATAATTAAATTAGCCTATAGTTCATTCCAAAAGAATGCATGTCATATATATTTTTTCTTAAGAAAACATGGATGTATTATGATTGCTTTAGTAGGCAATTATGCATGTATAGAAATGAATGGCCATGATGATGCACTTACCTCAGGTGAGTCAGCCATCTTGACAGGCTTTGACGCCATCAATGGGCAACACAATAATACCCCTCAAGAGGAATTTCTGCAGAACAGCACATGATAATTAGTTATGTAATTTAATTTCTTGTGGCTATTCTTTTGTGATCGAAAAATCACAGGTTTGGTTTCATTAATTTTTTTTTTTATATAAAAAATGCAAGAATAAGACCGTGTAAAAGAATTTCCAGATGAAGTGATTTTTTTTTTTTTTTTTGAGAAAATGGAATGTAATGTTCAACATGCACAATGCCATAACATAAACGTCAAGAGCATAAAGAACCAAAAACCAAATTCATGGTAATCACGTTGTGGAATGTAATGCACACAACCAGACATGGTCAAAGTCAGAATGAAAGTATAATTATATTTTTAATGATGAGAAACCAAATCATTATTAATATATATATATGAGAAGAAGATAGAGGCAAGATCACCCTTCAGAAAAGAGATTTCAGGGAATGAAGGACAAACATGAAAGTCAAAAATGGCATCAATTCTGATAACTCTTCAGGCCATGTAAGAGCTAACAAAAATGTTTCAGCTGCATGGTCAATGAATATAAGAGCTTTCCTTTCAAGAGGAAAAAGAGAGGAAAACTTATGGGAGAAAAGGGGAAGGTTGTTTTGGTTTACAAAGAAAATGACATGTGGGTATTGAAAATGAGCTGGTTCTTAGATTAGACCACCAATTATCATAAAAAAAAAAACAATGGGATATCTTGAGAGAAAATTGTGGAACAAAAAAGGTAGAAGATAGCAACATAACCCCAATTAGGAAAACCAATATTTATATATAGGAAAATGGCAAATCAAAACTATATGAAAATCTATGTGATTTTATTAAGACAGAGAAAGAGAGAGAGAGGAAATGGTCACAGCTATGAAAAAGAATGGATATGCGTCATCTTCTCTGTGAAATGGAAAATGGCAGTTTAACTGCCTCCCTCTCCTTTCTACCAAATCCTACAGTGTCCTTAAATTGACATCAATATCAGATTATGTTGTCACAACCAATGCTTAGTTCCCACATAACAAAATCATTTTTCCCCCATGGTTTTCTCTTTCATTCTTGCTTTCTCATAATGCTATTTTGGATTGGAATCACCACAATGGCATGTTATAATATTTTCGTTGGAAAAATGGTGATTATTAGAAAATGGAAAAAGATAACTAATGTTATGACGTTGTTGAACATTTATATTATTATTATTATGGGATATGTTTTTTTACTTATTTTTATTTTACTTACTTTTGTTTGCTATTCTCCAACATCATTAGATCAGAATCTCATTAGGAGAGAGAAATAATAAAGGTAGTTGAGAGTCTGATAGAATGATATTAAAAAGTGATAGGTAAAGATAAACAAAAAAAAAGTTATACGTAGAATAACATATCCTATTATTATGATTAAACTCCAACAAATCATGAAGTTAAGTTTGCCAACCGAACCATACCTTTTGGTTTCTTACTTCGGTAATGTGATATATAACCAAACCATTAAATTAAGCATATCTGGTTTAAACTAACACGAAGAGTGTTTGAAAATGAGACGTATCAATAGTATGTCACAATCGAAGGGTTATTTCACAAAAGAAAAGAAAGTACTCACCTTCATTGCTCCCTAGTTTGGACGGAAACAAAATATAAGAGAAATTATTTGCGTGCATTCCCTTCTCCTTCGTACATTCAGACTCTTACATATTATTACCGCTGATCCTTCTTATAGGTTTATGTTCGGTCCTGGAAAGACCGTATTGCTATATCGTATGGTATGTGCTCAGAGATAGTGTATATCAGGTGTATACTAGGCTTATAGCCGAGGTCTCAATTTCTGCGCACAAGCAATAGGCTTATAGCCAAGGGGTGGGTGTGTGCACAGTGTGGGCAGTATCAGTAAATAGGTTGAAAGTGTTTACCTGGGGTCCTTAGGCTCTTATTTATAGGGATTACCTTCTTAGGCTTGGGCCTTTTGTGCTTCCCCAAGTGCAATAGGCCGATTCAACTCCCTTTCTGTTGGGATGTGATTCTTATCTTGTGCCTTTTTGTTGTTGAGAGTTGTTAAGAGACTTACGACTCTATCTCTTAGTAGATTCTTGAGTGGGTAGTTGGGATATGATATTCATATCGATAACAGTTGCCCCCCATCTCGATATTCCGAGGCTCGGGATGTCGAGGTGCTTCTACGTTATCTCGGATCTATTTGTCCGAGTTCATTGGTCTCAGATTTGAGCTTTCAATATCTTGACGCCTGCGTTTTAGCTCGAAATTGCTTTTATCGAGATTATTCGCGCAAAGTTTCTTGATCTTCCTTAGCGTGTGCGACATCGAGCTTTGATGTGTCGATTTTTCCCTGAGTTCGTTTCCTGCCTTCCAACATTGTTCGATCCGAACTTCGGCTTCTTCGTGTTGGGCCGAGTTGAAGAACTCGGTCACGTTGCAGCTTTTGTTTATGATCTCACGGGCAAGCTTATACCCCCAATTTTTAAGATAACATCGGGGCTTGGAGGTCGGAGTTTGATCTTTTCAACTCCCTTTGACCTTTCGCTTCATGCCTGCTGCTACAGTTGTAAGCTTCCACGTGCCTTCCCCTTATTGGGGGTTCGTGCATCGTGCAAGGCACGTCATAACAAGCCTTGCATAGGTCATGATTGTGTGCATTTAATGCACTCAGGGTGAAGTCCCCTTTTTGCCCCTCATCACTTAACCGTTTAGAAAACTCTTCATCTTCGCGCCTCAGGTTTTTGGGTTTCCTTTAAATTCATCACTTCGGTCCTTCCACAGGGTTTTCACTTTTTGAAGCTTTGCGTGTAGTGTGTACTCAGAGTTTTTTTACTCCGTTTCAAGCTTCTCCTCCGTATTTTCTTTTGGCGTGCTTCTGGTCTCTTACTATCGTTCTTGGCCTGAACTACCGAAGGTTTCCTGGTTCTAAATTCACCTGTTTCCTCTTCGTTTTCCTTTGACCAGGTATCTTTCTTCCTTTGTTTATTTTCTTCGTTTACTCCATCGTCTTCAAGTTTTTGCCTTGTGCATGTTTTGCTGTTTTGTTTGGCCATATAGTCTCGAGATTCTAGAGTATAGTGTTTTATCTTACGTTGAACTTGCGATAAGTCTGTCCGTTTTATTTGGGGGTTCTCTGTTCCCCTTCCTCTTTTTGGGTTTTCCTGATGAATACCCCTAATTCTTCTTTTGGCCCGGCTGCTGGCCGAGGTGACGAAGTGAGTGAGGAGGTGGTGAGGCGGTTACCTCGATCATTTCAATACTGGCTCTTTGGTAGGGAATACACCGAGAAGGAGAAGCTTCAGCAGCTTCTTCATGGTCATAGGGGAGGTCGTCGAAGATCCCGGGCTGGCCTTGGTAGGGGAATGAGAGGTCAGATAGGAGGGGGTCGACAAAGTCAGCTTAATTTTGGCACCAACAGCCCTCCTTTGGTGAGTCCTCCCATTCCTAGGTTGAGTTCCTCCCTTGAGCCTGTCCCTTTGGCTTACATATTGCCGTCCTCCCAGGTCGTTCCGGGTCCTAGATCCGTTCTGGATCGTATTCCCCCTTTTAGGTTGAGTGATAGTTCTTCAAGTCTTTCCTCATCCGAGCTGGGTTTTTCGAGTTCAGATGTCCTTTCTTGCTTTGATGAATCGGCTTCTAGTCAAGTGCCTTTTGTCGATCTTGTCAGTAGTTCTAACGAATCCATCCCTTTTTCTTGGAGTCCTGGCTCGTTACCATCCGATCTCGGGAGTCCCAGATCGGATCTGGTTGATTTTTGTACTGACCCTCGCCCTTCATGTTCCAGGACTTTAACTATGGAGAAGTCGAACGTGCAAAATTGGGTTCTTCTTGAGATCCTCCGCATCCGATCTACGATGTCTCCTGTCGATGTCTCCCAACTACCAGCTGGTGACCCCAGTGGGGTGGATATGCTCCCAGCAGGCGACTATCCGGTGTGTGCGGGGCACATTTTGGACGAGCTCCATTTCTTTTTTCTTTACCGAGATCTAATAACCAAACTTGGGATTCGGTTTCCTTTCACCGAGTTCCAAATGGCAGTGATTCGTCGGCTTCGGATTGCGCCTTCTCAACTCCATCCCAACTCTTCGAGGTGCCCCAAACCGGGGTATTTTTGTCCCATATTCCCAATCTTTCAAGGGCTTCAAGGATGCCTTCTTCAGGGTAGTAGTTCGCTCAGACTGTCTCCCCTGGTTCGCCTTGTTGTTATCAGACGGAGGGGATTTTGCAAGTCGATTTGAGCTTTACTGGACGCAGAATCATTATCAACGGCGTCCTAGGGACTATGCTACTCCTGGAGTGGCTCTTTCTGACTCGGAGAGACTGGCTACGTCTGTCCTGATTGGTTATGCCAGGGAATTCGGCATTATCGATCTTAGTCGGATTGTAAATATATTTGGAGAGGATTTCCTTTGTGAGCTTGGTATGTTGTTTTCCTTTATAATGGCCTTTTTTTTCTTTCGACATGTCTTATGACTTGAGTTCTAACCTTTGACCCTCTTTTGCAGTTAGCATGACGAGTGCGGAGTACATGAAGTTTTTTCCCAAGAAGTCTGGCAAGGGAAAAGCCAAAGAAGGCCCCTCTTCCAATGCCGAGGTCTTCAAAAAGCGACGGTTTGATGCCGTGATCAGTGGAAGTTCAATGGGTGATGAGGTGATCATCACTGATGTCTCTTCTCCTTCCTTATCGCCATTTCCTCCTCCCTCCAACGCTCCTCAAGGGACCCTGATTACCCTAGAGCCTGGGGAGTTGTGGAGGGTCGGGGTTACTGACCG